CCCCACCTCGCTTAATAATATAATTAAAAAATTATTTATATATATATAAACTAAAATTAGAAATATTTATATGTAAAAATTTATATTATTTTTCTTTTCTTTTATTTTTTTAAAATTGTTCATATTTATTTAAAAGAAAAAAGAAAAAAAAAATAGGAGCGGGAGCAGGGGCGGGACGGGGAAACCCGAACCCCGCCAGGGGCGGGGATGGGGACCTACATTTTACCCCCGGCGGGTATTGGGGTCAGGGGCGGGGAACGTAAAACCCGCCCCTGCCCCGCCCTGTTGCCATGCCTAGTTTTTGGGTGCATGGTCTTTGCACATCTTCCTCGGCATCTACATTCCAAGTTAGATCCATGTGCTGCTAGATGTGTGTTTTTGGGTTACGGGACACACACCAAAGGTTATTGTTGTTTTGACCCAATTAACCGTCAAACATGTTACCATGGATGTGTCTTGTGGAAATTGAGCTCTATTATGCTAACCCTACTCATCTTCAGGGGGAGAAGAATGGTGAAGATGGCAATGTAGGAGGCATATTTGGCACAGGTGGCGTGTTTACATATGATGTACCATAGGGGCCCAAAATTATTGGAGTAAATCATGATATGGATATTAATACAGGACTGGTTGGTATTAATGAGACAACTTTTATTGGCAGTGGTTCACATAATGTGTTGCACAATGAGGGCAGCTCTGACAACTCTACTACTTACATGTCAGAAGACCATCCATCCGAGGAATTGAGAGAAATTCAAAATCAACCCGCCTCATCCTCTACTCCATGTGGGATGGATTCATAGAATGAAAATGCATGTCGAATTGAACTAGGCAAAGCAATGCAAGGTGACATAACACCGTCTTCTACTCCTCCCTTTATATCCACTTATGTGTCTTTTGAGGATATCCAGGTACGCATTACTTTTGAGACTAATTTGCCCAACACCTAGAAAATATACATTGCCGTTCAGGTCCAATAGAGGTAAACCTCCTCTTAGATACTCTCCAGATGTGAAAGGGAAGGGAACAAAGCATCCTATAACAAACTTTGTTACTACTGAAAGGCTATCAGATTCACTTAAGGCCTTTGTATATAAATTGTATACTCAATCAATACCTACTAGAGTTGAGGAAGCTTTGAAAGATCAAAACTGGACTCAAGCTATTCAAGTGGAAATGCAAGCCTTACAAAAGAATAACACTTGGGATCTTGTACCTTTACCAGAAGGGAAGAGTACAGTGGGTTGTAAATGGGTCTTTTCCGTAAAGTATAAACCTGATGGGTCTATTGAGAGATACAAAACTATGTTGGTGGCTAAAGGTTATACTTAGACATATGGAATAGACTACCAAGAGACATTCTCGCCTGTTGCAAAACTCAATACCATTCGAGTGCTATTATCTCTAGCTATAAATTTAGATTGGTCTTTACACCAACTGGATGTGAAAAATGCGTTCTTACATGAGAACTTAGAAGAGGAAGTGTATATGGATATCCCACAAGGGTATATTGTTTCAACAAATGGAAAATTGGTGTGCAAGTTGCAGAAAGCTTTATACGGGCTGAAACAGTCGCCTCAAGCATGGTTTGGACAGTTTAGTTTGGCAATGAAGAAGTATGGATATAGACAAAGTAATGCTGATCATACTATTTTTTTGAAGAAGAGGAAAGGAAAGCTCACGGCTCTTATCATCAATGTAGATGATATGATAATCACAAGGGATGACTCTGAAGAAATTAACAGGAGATAGGAGCAGCTTAACTCTGGATTTGAAATGAAAAATCTTGGGGAATTAAAATATTTTCTTGGAATAGAGGTTGCAAGATCACGAGAAGGAATTTTTTATTTCTCAAAGGAAGTATGTGTTAGATCTTTTATCTGAAGTTGGGTTGCTAGATTGCAAACCAGCAGAGACACGTATTCCCCAAAATTTGAAATTTGTGGAGACTAATGACCTGGTACCAGCAAACCGAGAGCAGTACCAGAGATTAGTGGTAAAGCTAATTTATCTCTCACATACCCGACCAGACATAGCATATGCAGTTAATAGGCCTTTTTTTTTATATAGGATAAAAGCTAGAAATAACTGGTACAGAAATAGAAACTTAAACTCATCCAATAAACGGAGATTTAGAAAAAATCTCTAAACAACTTTCTAAGCTCAGTCTTGGAACTAATACTTCTACCATTACCAGTTCTAACAAATATATTCTAGCCAAGCCTAGAAAATGACAAACAGAACTCAAACACAAACTCTTCCTTTTACAGATCTTTTATTTCTCAAACACAAACACGAGAAGGAATTTTTTATTTCTCAAAGGAAGTATGTGTTAGATCTTTTATTTGAAGTTGGGTTGCTAGATTGCAAACCAGCAGAGACACGTATTCCCCAAAATTTGAAATTTGTGGAGACTAATGACCTGGTACCAGCAAACCGAGAGCAGTACCAGAGATTAGTGGTAAAGCTAATTTATCTCACATACCCGACCAGACATAGCATATGCAGTTAATGTGGTCAGCCAACACATGCAGAACCCAAGGGAGGAACATATGGAGGTAGTAGCCAGAATACTACGGTACTTAAAATCTTCACCAGTAAGAGGGTATATTCAAAGAATAATCATCTAGAAATAGAAGGTTACTCGGACTCTGATTGGGCTGGAACAAAACCAGATAGGAAGTCCACTGTAGCCTATCTTACTTTAGTGGTGGAAACTTAGTAACTTGGAGGAGCAAGAAGCAAAAGAAAGTCTCAAGATCAAGCACTAAAGCTGAATGGAGAGGCATGGCAAATGGGATTTGCGAACTACTTTGGCTTAGAAGATTATTGACAGAATTGGTATACAAACCAAAGTCAGCCATGAAGCTACATTGTGATAATCAATCAGCCATTGAATTATCTGACAATCCCATACAGCATGAGCGAACGAAGCATGTTGATGTGGATAGAAATTTCATCAAGTAGAACCTAGATGACAAGATTATTAGTTTCCCATATGTGAGGTCTGAAGACCAGCTGGCTGATAAGTTGACTAAGGAAGTATCTGGAAGGATCTTCCATGACTCTCTTGGCAAGTTGAGGATTAAAGATATTTACTCCCCAACTTGAGGGGGAGTGTTAGCTTAACTGTCAATTACGTGATCTCTGTCAATTACATGATCTTAGGAGTTAGTTACTCCTTGATTCTCTAAATTAGTTTCTGATTGTAATCTTTTCCTATTATTGTGATTGATTCGGTTGTATTGGATAATACAACCACATCTATATAAGTAACTCGAATTACTGCGAATCAAATAAGGGGCTTTTTCCCAGAATTTGCACTCGTATCTTCCATGTTAAGTTGTCACAGACACACTTGAAATTTTCATTTTGACTGCATTGCCTGTTAGTGAATCATTTTGCATGTGCCTACATTATATTAACTTTACTTTTCAGAAAGAACATAATGACAAGTTACCCATCTGTTATTTCCAGATGATAATGAGTTTGAGGAGATCAACATTGTCCGGCCAAATGATTTCTACCAAGCACGGGATGCGGACGGTGCCAGTTGGTAAAAATGGCAGGCTCACAATTACTGGTACCCTGCCCATGGAATCATATAATAAATATTTTTGTAACCCTTTAAATGAAATTTCCATGTTATGTGCTAAAAGTACCGTCCCATTAATTTATCAGGTTGCATGATGAAATCCATAATGGTTCAGGAAACATCTCCCCAAATGATTGATCAATTGTTGGGTTAATGATGTACTTGTTTACGTAATACTGAATTGATTGCCCGCAGAGAACATGGCACTCTCTGCGATGATTTTTATCATTTGAATCAAATTTGTGATTAAGGTCTTGATTGACTTTATACCAATGTAAATGTAATGCTAAAGGACTAATCATGTTAGGCTTAGGTCGTCTAGAAGACTTGAACCCTTTACAAAATATTATTTATTTGGGCAGTGATAATTTAGATTTTCTTGAAAAAAAAATTATTCGGTTAAATTATGGTGAAATTACATTTTTGGTCCTATTTTTTTAATCTGTAATTTTTGGTATTTTTATTTTAAAATAATGACATTTAGTCCTCCTATTTTCTAAAATACGAAATTTTGGTTGTCCTATCAATTTGGTGTTTATTGATTATTAAATTTTGACAATGTTTGATAATCCGTCATTATTTAAGTGGTGTGATATTTAATGACATGATGCATAGTAATAAAAAATTAAAAATAACACAATATTTTTGTATGTATATATTTTTACAAGTGATTAATATTTATTTTATTAATAAAATTTTTATTTGTATTATTTTTTTAATTTTTAAATATTATGTTATTAAATATTATATTACTTAAACATGAATAAATATTAATACTCAATGATAATTTTATGGAAGGATTAAAATTATGTATTTTTAAAATTAAAAAATTAAATGCCTCTATTTTAAAATAGAGATCAAGACCAAATTCAGTTTTAAATAACTGATCACTTTGGTCTGACATTAAGGTTATATTTGATAGTTGAGAATGAAATGGAATGAAATGAAAATTTCATTTTATTGATATTTATATACATTGTTAAAGGAACATGAATTCGCTGTTTTCCATCTCTCCTCACAAGGACACGACTCACAAACAGCACACAATTCTGGACTTTCCTTTTATTTACGACTTTTATTGCTGGTGCGGGTTTGAAAACCCATCTAATATGCATATATACTTAAAGAACCATGTCAAATCAGGTGAATCATTTGGAAGTTGACTTATTGCTTCTGGTAGACGATCGTCAAATTTGTGAAGTTGCAGAAACATACACGCTAAAATGATGCCTCCTAATATCTTATTGTTAAGAGTCACTTTCCCCACCCCGTCACTTTGAAAAAGAAAATTTGGAATCTGACATTTCTTTGGAAAAATCCTCCACCATTATGAATTGCTTGCGTTGCTTGTCGACCGTGAGAAATATAGTACTTTATTGGTTAACTGTACAAATAAATTTGTTATCTATTAACATAGTTGCAGTTCCATAATTTGATTAGATGATTAAGGGAGTGTTTTGGCAGATAACTTCAATGGTCATTTGTTATGCTCTTGTGTCTTATGTAATACATCTGAAAACTTATTGGAATAAACTAAAATGAACTCATTTTATAAAAATTATACCAATAAATTTATTAATTTTAAGAATACAGAGGTATGATTGAAAAAAGGTTCAAATAGTTGGGCTCATAAGTAGGGGTGTTCACAAAACTATTTAAAACTAAACTTTTTAAATAACTAAACTAAACTAAACTAAAATAAACTAAATTATTTTTTAATAGTTTAAATCAAACTATTACTTTTAGTATAGTTTATAAAACTAAACTATTAAAATTAATAGTTCAGTTTACTAAAACCAAATACAAGCACTGCACATTTACGGAAGCACGGGAGGCTACGGTTCGTCGTTCAAAACTATTAATGTATGTGGTAGAATCATTTTCTCTTAAGCACTGCACATTCACGGAAGCACGGAGGTATTAAAGTCGTAGTGTCATTTTCTCTTTTTTTTTTTTTAATTTGGGATAAAAAAGGGGTAAGAATTTGCTACTATTTTTTTCCCTTTTTCTTTTTTTGGGTAATTTGGGCCTAGATTTGATGCAATTTATGGTGAAAACCGACGAAAAGGCTTGGTGCAAGGTAATTACTTTTTGCACAGCTAATTTTTTCTACATACATAACTTATCTGTCTCATTTTTTTTAAAAGTTAATATGAATTAATTTTAAAATATAGGTAGTTAAAATTTAAGATAAAATGAAGAAAAAAGTAATATAAAAACAATTAATATATGTTTGGATGCAAGCAAAAAGTACTTTTAAACTTAGGTTCAAACAAATCCTTGATGAAAACAATCTTTAACCATATTTTATTTACCTCTAATTTTATTTATTTCTGAACAAACCAAATTAGTTTAAGATAAACAAGAAAGTAGAAGCCAGAATAGCACTGCAGATTCTAACATTGTTTTACAAAAATTATTTTAAATTTAATTTATAATTAATATCAATGATTTGGTAGCTCAATTTAAAAATGTTGATTTTAAATTTATTTTTTTAATGTAGTTCAATTTAGTTATAATTAATAATAATTTAATTTATAATTAATAATAATTTAATTTAATTGATATTATAGTTTAGTTCAAACTCCTAAAACTATAGTGCACTAATCTAGATAATAGTTTAGTTTAGTTTAGTCAATATTTATATTAGTTCAATTTAGTTTAGTGAACTATTTATTATAGTTTAGTTTAGTTTTCTTTTAGTTTAGTTTAGTTTAACAATTTGAACACCCCTACTCATAAGCCAACCTAAGCCCAAACATGATTGGATTGGGTCCAAAATACCGGTAAAGCAAGTCCAGCAATGATGCACCCAAGACACGACGTTTCACGGTTGGCAGATGATAAACATACCTCCACTCTTATATAAACACACCCCTTTTTAAAAAAAAAGTATATAAAATGTCTAAATTACCCTTAAAAAAAAGAAATTCCTAAATTTACACCCCCTTCCCTGCACTCCCGTTCCCCGCACCCCCTTCCCCTCATCCCACACCTCCCTTCCCCGCTACAATCTTGCACAGTTGGAGAGAGAAGTTTCAACAGAATTAATAAACAAAAACAATAAAACAAAACTAATTAGCCTAAAAGTATAACAAAAGAATGATCATGATAAATATTCAATATTAACCGACAAAAATTAAGTTTCAATGAAATTCCAAAAGAAAGAGTCTCAAACAATACAATTATCAGACGAAGTCTGCCCTCTAATTAAAACACCGAAACCTAGGTAAACCGAAAGCCAGACATAGAACTCCGTTAACGGGATCCACAACTTCTTTATCTATGATAGCAATAGCAGCAAATGAAACTTCAAAAGATTCCACTTGAGAGCGGCATCCATCCCCTTGGTTATTTCGACAATATGGTATTCTCTATAGCACCGTTTTCTTCCCTCAAAGCGGAAAGGGATTGTTCTTCTTGGCCTCTTTTCACATTATCACATCACTTAGTGATATGGGACTGTGCTCAGAAAGTGTATCCTGGTCAGCACTTTAGAAAGTATGTGGTGTTGGGTGAAGACGTCTGTATAATGGATGCCAACGTCGCCGACGCTTATCAGCAAACCCTTGATAGACTTGGAGTTGAGATTTCAGTCTCAAAGTCTCTGGTCTCTGCAGCTGTGCAAGATTGTAGCGGGGAAGGGGGGTGTGGGGTGAGGTGAAGGGGGTGCGGGAAACGGGAGTGGAAGGAGGTGTAAATTTAAGAATTTTATTTTCTTTAAGGGTAATTTAGATATTTTATATATTTTTTTCTAAAAAAGGAGTGTGTTTATACGAGAGTGGATGTGTGTTTATCATCTGCCTTCACGGTTTGAGTTTGAGTGACCGCGAAGTCAGCAATTCATAAAGGATCATGATATATACACTTTCTTTTAAGTACACTCCCTTTTTTTAAAAAAATAATAATAATAATTAAATTCTTAAAATATTCTTAATTTTTATCATTTTTAATTTTTTTTAATTTTACATTCCTAACATTTAATTTAACACTTTTTTTACACACCTTTTTTCTTTATTTTCACATGCATCTCTTTAATTTTTCTTCACTCCCACCTATTTTAGTAGGTAATTTTAATTCTTTTAATTTTACATTATTCTTTTTCCTTCCTCTGTCAATTTTTTTACTGATTTCACTATCCACATAATATTCTAGAATAGTGAAAATATTTTTTTCATAACACTAAATTTAATATTAAGGTTTTTGAAGAGGAGAAAGGAAATGAAGTTTTGGAAAAAAAAAATGTGTGTCTACTAAAAACTGTCGAGGAAGTTGCATGTATGATGTGATTCCACTTGGAAATCACAAGATCTCTTCAAGCCTTCACGGAAATCCTTGGAAGATCTTAAGGATGGAGTCTCAACAAGGCTTCAATGTGACCTAAGCTTGCATGAAGCTACGTCCGGAGAAGAACTAAGGGTCCTAACTCTACAAGGAGAAGCACTCAAGAAGGGTAGAGTTTAGGATGCAAAGTGACTTCAAAGGAGATGAATTCAAAGAGAGAAAACTCATCAAATATAT